CTCAGTTGATAATATGAGAAACACTGACAGGAACTGCAGACCCTCCAGTTGTCCTGGTTTGGCACTATTGGAGGGACATTTAGAAGGTATATAAAAACAACTCTCAAATACAGGGGAATTCCAGACAAGAAACAATCAGGGGCAGCTAATCACTTCCCAATAAAGGATTATCCCAAGCAAGCAGCCAAACCTTGAAGCTGCAAGGCTATTCAATGCTAATCAAGTTGACCAAATGCAACATTCACACTTGCTTCAAATAAACAAGAGTTCTTTCTCCCCACCCTGGTCATTCTACAGGTATATAAACCCCCATTTTCCTTGTTTTCAACAAACCTCACAACCTCTGAAGATGCCTGCCATAGATGTGGGTGAAACGTCAGGAGACAATGCTTCTGGAACATGGCCATACAATGCAAAAAACTCACAGCAACCCATTTAGAAGGTACTTTGCTTGGTGCAAACTGAATTCAAAATGGAAAGGTAGTCTGCACTCAATTAACTGAAACATTTGCAACAACTGAGCTCCGTGTGTATGTGTGTGTGTTTATGAGATAGAAATTTACACACACACCCTGCCCCAGCCCCAGGTAAGAATTCTGCCTTCCCCCAACAAAATGCCCCATAAGCCACTACATTTCTAGCATTACAGAAACTTAAAATTTCATATGAGCATTTTAATGCTCCCTTCACTGCAGTCCTAGAAAATTGGGAACTGAGGCACAATTTAAGAAATCTGAGGGCCCTTCCAGACAGGACATTATCCCAGGAGCATCTGCATTTAAAATATGTGGATGTTCCTGGAGACCTATCCGGTGCTCAGGATTAGCCTGGGAGGACACCTGAAGACTCTACCCCCCCCCCCAAAGACCTAAAAAAACCCTTTAAAAATGAAAGCACTTACCGGCTTCCATAGGAGTGCTGTGGTAGCTCTCCTGGCACAGAAATGATGCGCCAGGAGAAAGGGGGGGGGGAGGAGTGATTTTCCTCCTCCCCCCTTTCTCCTGACACGTCATTTTTTGCACCAGGAGAGCTGCCGCAGTTCTCCTATGGAGACCAGTAAGTACTCTTATTTTTAAAAGTTTTTTTAGGACTTTGGGAGAAAGGGGATATTCCCACAGTTTTCTGGGCTAATTTAGCCTAGAAAACTGTGGGAATAATGTCTAGACTACAATCCAGACACCAGAAGTTTATCCTGCACCTTCCAACAAGGCATGGAAGCAAGCCACTATCTAATTAATTTGCCACAAATTTAGCCTGGAAAACTATGGGAGTGGTTTTCCTGATTTGTGGTGAATTAGTTCGGGATTGTCCAGAACGTTGTCTGGACAGCCCCCTTTCTATTGCAGAAGTTCCCGCAATAAAGAGGCTGTCTAGATCCGCCCTTATTTAGAGGCAATCTCTCTCTCTCTCTCTCTCTCACACACACACACACACACACACACACAGAGCTATATCCCTGGGTCTCACCTACAAACATCATGAACCATGGCAATTTTGCCTCTGAATAAAGCCTTACACTGAAAAAAAAATACCCTACTTCTTAAAGCCCTAAGAGATTGGATATGCAACAGCCAGATACACATTTAGCAGGTTATATGAAACTTAGTTTACCTACAATGCATACAGTTGCAGTCCTAATGATTTTTTTCCCAGCACTTCAGGGCAGATTTTCTCACTTTATTTCTTTTGGCAGCCCTCATATTCCCTGCTGGCTTAACAAGTGACCAGTGTTTTCTACCATATTACACAACGCACCGAGGTCTTACTCTTGTGATATAATTGCAGCACGTGAATGTATATTAGACTAGGAATTGTTTGGTCCTCCAGATATTATCGAACTGTAGTTTCAGGCATTCCTTGTCATTTGGCTATACTGGCTAGTACTGCTGGAAGTTGCAATCCAAGAACATCTGAAGGACTGCAGGATTTCCACCTCTGATGTGCAAATACAAAGGAGGAGAACTTTGTTTGACTGTCTTTATGGAGTCGTGATACAGAATCGTCAGATTTGGAAGAGATCACAAGGGACATCCAGTCCAAACCTAGAATGTACAACTCAGGAACCTTAGAATGTACAACTCTGAGTAGTTCTAACAAGCACGGTCAGTGGTGAGGGATGATGGGAGTTGAAGTCCAACTCCTGGAAGCCACACATTTCCTTATTCCTGTAAAATGTTTTTATATTGATATTCTGCCCTCTATTCAATGAGTTCCGTGTTTTCCTTTCCCCTCTTTATCCTCACAATCCTTGGGAGGTAAATCAAACTCAGTTTGATAAAGCAGTTTGATCTGGCAGAGAAGGCTGAAATCTGTATAATTCTGCAGTGTGGGTGGTCTCTTGGGCTGCATCTACCTTGTAGAATAATACACACACACATACATAATACATATATAAAATATATACACCTTTAAAGACACACCCTATTTTTGAGATGTTTACATGGGAACAAAGGTGTGCCTTAGAATTGATTAAATATTTTATCTGCCATATGAACCTCTAGGAGTTGTAGGACCCATCTACGCTGCCATATAATACAGTTCAATTCCATTATGAAACTGTATTATATAGCAGTGTAGATAGGACTGTAGTTGTTGAGACACCAGAGCTCTCTGAAAGAGGACAAATACTTTACAAACAATAAACATCATAATTCCATAGCACTGACGCATGGCAGTTAATGCAGTATCAAAATGCATTTTATTTACATGTACATACCAATGCAGCATCTATGGCAATCATCCTCACAATCTCTGAGGCTTGCCATAGATGCAGGTGAAACGTCAGGAGAGAATGCTTCTAGGACATGGCCATATAGCCCGAAAAACCTACAACAACCCAGTGATTCCAGCCATGAAAGCCTTTGACAAAACACAGCATACATGCATATTTGGTCCAAGTGTTTGGGATTTGTCTCCAAATTTCAGTCTCTTCTCAAGGGCCTAGGATAGCATTTTTGAACCTGAGGGTCAGGACCCCTGGGGGAGCCGCAAGGGGGTTTCAGAGAGGTCGCCAAAGACAATCAGAAAACACATATTTCTGATGGTCTTATCAATCCCTTTGGCAGAGAAGGCTGAAGATCTCTCTGCCTGTCCTTCTCTTCCTTTTTGGAAGCAGACAGCAAATCCTTCCACCGAAAGCCCTTCTCCGCTGTGATTGGCCGGCCTCTTAGCTGGCCTCTCTGCCAAGGGGAGGGCTGTTTCTGACTCCAAGCAGGAAGCAGAAGAGCAGGCATGCTCAGTGCATGGAAGTGTGGTGACATTTGTGGGTCCAGGGAGAGCGTATGAAGCTGGAGGGAGGCTCGTGCCAGCAAGTCCCTTCAAGCAAGGCATGGGGTTGTGTGTGGGAAGTTTGGCCCAATTCTATCATTGGTGAGGTTCAGAATGCTCTTTGGTTGTAGGTGAACTATAAATCACAGTAACTACAACTTCCAAATGTCAAGATCTATTTTCCCCAAGCACCACCAGTGTTCACATTTGGGCATATTGAGTATTTGTGCCAAGTTTGGTCCAGATTTATAATTTTTTTAGTCCACAGTGCTCTCTGGATGTAGGTGAACTACAAGTCTAAAACTCAAGGTCAGTGCCCACCAAACCCTTCCAGTATTTTATGTCATGGGAGTTCTGTGTGCCAAGTTTGGTTCAATTCCATCGCTGGCGGAGTTCAGAATGCTCTTTGATTGAAGGTGAATTATAAATCCCAGCAACAACTCCCAAAGGACAAAATTAACCCCCTCCAACCCCATCAGTATTCAAATTTGGGCGTATTATTTGTACCAAATTTGGTCCAGTGAATGAAAACACAGCCTGCATATCAGATATTTACATTATGATTCATAACAGTAGCAAAATCCAGTTATGAAGTAGCAACGAAAATAATGTTATGGTTTGGGGTCAACACAACATGAGGAACTGTATTAACGGGTCAACACTTCTCTAGTGCTTCTTGCAGGGAGCAGTCAACCCTCCTGTTTAAGGAGCTCCTCTGGCTGTTGTTCATTTTCCGGTCCCAATTCATGGTGCAGGTTCTTACCTACAAAGCCCTGAACGGTTTGGGACCCGCCTACCTGCGTGACCACATTTCTGTGTACGAACCCACACGATCTCTTGGATCATCTGGAGAGGCCCTGCTCATGCTCCCACCTCCATCGCAGGTGCGATTGGTGGGGACGAGGGAGAGGTCCTTCTTGGTGGTGGCCCCTCGACTCTGGAATTCACTCCCTAAGGACATCAGGCAAGCCCCAACGCTGGCAGTCTTTAGGAGGAGCCTGAAAACGTGGTTGTTCCAGTGTGCCTTCCCAGAATAAGGAGAATCTCTCAGCAATATGCCCTCATAATGCACTTTAATACTGACTTAGGACTGTCTGTGCGCCCGCATCTTTTTCCGAAAACCCTATCCTAATTTGCCTTACCTTGTTTATGCCTAGCACTTTTTAAATTTGAAATTTGAATTTTACATTTGGCCCGGCCATTGGTTTTTAAATGCTGTATGATTTTGATATTGTTATCGCTTATTGCTTATTGTGTATTTTTTTTGTTTTTGAGTTTATTTCAACTGTTTTGTAATGATTTATTGTTATTGCTTGTTTATTGATGTGTTGTGGGCTTGGCCTCATGTAAACTGCACCGAGTCCCTTGGGGAGATGGTAGCAGGGTACAAATAAAGTTATTATTATTATTATTATTATTATTATTATTATTATTATTATTATTATTAGTGTGATGAAGTGGATGCCACACTAGAGAAAAAAGTTTAAGTTTGTTGAATGCTTGGGCTTGAAGCTTTTTCTGCCAGAGTGTGCTGATGTCTCACCAAAACCACGCAGCAATGAGCTACGGCAGTTAAAGCGGTGTCAAACTGCATAGTTTCGACAGTGCAGACCCCTGCTCTATCCAAGGTGCCAAGGCTTCGCCCTTTTCCCTTCCTTCCCAGCTTGCAGGGACCCTTTCTGCCCGCCAACCCCTCCGTGTTGTTGTTATCACATGGTCCAGGGGCGGGCGGAGCTGAGGAGGAGGGAGAGGAGGAGGGAAGAGGAGTAGCGGCGTCGGAAAGTTTGGCGGAGCGTCTGGAGTCGGTCGGAGGAAGGAGGGAGGGCATGGCGGGCAGCTTCCAGGCGCCTTGAAGACCAACCAAGCGGGAGAAGAAGAACAAGAACAAGAAGGAACTCCGCTTCCACAGCAGCCATGGGCTCCTTGCTGCTCCTCTTTGGCTTACTTTCCCGCAGCCTCTTGTCTTCGGGGCTGGCCAAGCGCGAATGCCCGGCGCCCTGCCGCTGCTCGGGGGAACTGGTGGACTGCAGCCGCCTCCAGCTGAGCCGAGCGCCCCAGCCCATCCCGGAGTGGGCCGTTGAGCTGTGAGTAGACCGGAGGGAAGGAAAGAAAGAAAGAAAGAAAGCGAGAGCCTTGGTTGGAGTCCCGCTTGAGTTTTGGAATGTTGGGGGTTGCTCCTTTTTCACCGGCGCTAGAGGGCGCTGTTGGCAACTCACGCCATGCGCGCCTAGGAAAGGGCAACACAGCAGTGATTTTTTTGTGTCTGTGCTGATGGAGTAAAGCAGGCATAGTCAAACTTGGGCCCTTCCTTCAGCTTAAGCGGCTGAGGGGGAAAAGGAAAGGGCCTGAGGCTGTTAGGAATGGTGGGAGTTGAAGTCCAAAACACCTGGAAGGAGGGCCCAAGTTTGACAATACCTGGACTAATGAAACCTGGGGAATAGTAGGTAGTAAAGGTAGAGTTTTTCCCTTGACATTAAGTCCAGTCGTGTCTGACTAGTGGGTTAGTGCTCCTCTCCATATCTAAGCCGAAGAGCCGGCGTTGTCCGTAGACACCTCCAGCATGTGGCCAGCATGACTGCATGGATCACCAGGGAATAGTACACAGATTCAATCTTTTTGAATGGAGGCCTCCTCCAGAGGGTAAGGAAAAGAGTTCCCAGGCTTTCCCTAATCTCTGAGGCAGGGATCCTCAAACTGAAGCCCTCCAGCTGTTTGGGCCTTCAACTCCCAGAAGTCCTGACAATTGAAACAAGCTTGTTATGGCTTCTGGGAGTTGGAGGCCCAAACAGCTGGAGGATGCCTGCAGCCTGAGCACATGTGCCTGTCACCTTCACAGGAGAGAATGGATAGGCAACAATTGTTGTGTTTATTTGATGTTTTTAATCGGTTAAATGTTTTTTGTGTGTTGTCAAAGGCTTTCATGGCCTTTTCACTGGGTTGTTGTAGGTTTTTCAGCGTTTTGGAGGAAAGTGAAGACCTGGCTGTTCGAACAAGCATTTGATTAAACAGTGTAATTGAACATAGGAATACGGAATAATGGATGGCGAGACTGGATTCTGATTTTACTGTTGAGGCGCTAATGATTGCTATACTGATATTAATGATTTATGTGATAATTGTTTTTAATTGCCCTATACTTGTTTTGTGATATTTTGTACTGATGTTTTTCACCGCTTTGAGTCACCTGTGGGCTGAGAAAAGCGGTATAGAAATAAAATAAATAAATAAATAAATAATAAATAAAAATTCAGGCTATATGGCCATGTTCTAAAGACATTTTCTCCTGACGTTTCGCCTGCATCTATGGCAAGCATCCTCAGAGGTAGTGAGGTCTGTTGGAACTAGGAAAAAGGGTTTATATATCTGTGGAATGACCAGAGTGGGACAAAGGACTCTTGTCCTTTGTTTTTTGTGTGCGTTCTACTTGTAATTTTGGGCTTGTCCCTTGTAAGCCGCCCTGAGTCCCCTAGGGGAGATGGTTGGCGGGGCATAAAAATAAAGTTATTATTATTATTATTATTATTATTATTATTATTATTATATGGGCACCATCTGTACAATCAATGCGTTTTGACACAAATTTAATGTGCTATGGAACCTTGGGAGTTGCAGTTTAGTAAGGCCCCAGCCTTCTTTGAGTAGAGAAGGTCAAAGATCTTGCCAAAGATCTTGCCAAAACATTGTATTGTCGAAGGCCTCAGTCACTGAGTTTCTGTAAGTTTTTTAGGTTGTATGGCCATGTTTCAGAAAGTGTTCTCTCTTGTTTCGCCTGCATCTATGGCAGGCATCCTCAGAGATTGTGACCTCACAACATGAATACACACAGTTATTTCTCATTTAAAGCAAGATATTTTACATTCTGTATTGTTGAAGGCTTTCATGGCTAGAATCACGGGGTTGTTGTAGGTTTTTTGGGCTATATGGCCATGTTCTAGAAGCATCCTCTCCTGATGTTTTGCCTGCATCTATGGCAGGCATCCTCAGAGGTTGTGGCCTCACAACCTCTGAGGATGCCTGCCATAGATGCTTGTGAAACATCAGGAGAGAATGCTTTTGGAAGATGGCCATAAAGCCCAAAAAAACTTACAACAGCCTTGTTAGAATAACTCCAATCTTCCCATGGCATTGAGCCATAGTAGCTAAAGTGGTGTCAAACTGTATTCATTCTCCAGTGTAAGTGCATCCACAGTTTGGCAGCTGTAAGGGACGATCAAAGCCACCTCTGCCATTCAGAGTGGGAGGGATGCAGAAAAACTGGCCTACTTGATTTCTTGGGGCCTCATCACAGAAGGGTAGCTGGCCATCTGTTGGGAATTCTTTGATGGTGTTTTCTTAACATGGCAAGGGGTTGATGTAGTCTCTTCCAATGCTATGACTCTCCAACAGTGGTTATCAACCTGTGGGTCCCAGAAATCCCAGTCAGTCTACCAGCTGTTAGGATTTCTGGGAGCTGAAGGCCAAAACATCTGGGGACCCACAGATTGAAAACCACTGCTCTGACATGAGTTCTGGAGTACAACAGGCATAAAGTAATTTGTTGTTGTGTGTCTTCATATGGTTTCCATTTTCTGTCATCACAATGTTTTCTTGGCCCTTTGTGTTACTCTGGGGTTGAGAGAGTGTGACTTGCGCAAGGTTACCATTGGGTTTCCATGGCTGGGATCCTTGGGATGGCAGGGATTAAAAGTTATAGTGGTATCGTACCACCTGAACTGCCATGATTCCATTCTGCGACTGGCAGTTTAGGAAGGGTTGTTGAGGTCCAGCGTCTCACTGAACTATAGACTCTGGGATGGCACTTAAAGCGGTATCATTATGGTATAATTCTGTAGTTTGAATGGGTCCCAGCTAAGATTTGTGTCAATTACTACACCTCTTAGGGCCTGGGGACATGTTGCTGTCAGCCTTCCATCAGGATGGGATGGAAAGGCAAGAAACCTTTGGAGAAAGAGTGGAAATGAGCCAGCGGGGTTGGCACTTGGAAGCAATGATAAATGTGGGGGGACATGGACATTGAAGTTGGAGCTAGGGCAGTGGCTGCTTCTATGTCATTGGAGCAATGGATCTTGTTAATTTCAAATTATTGTGATCTTGAGGAAGTCATGCTCTCTCATCCTCAGAGGGAGACAACGGCAAATGGTCCTCTGAACAAATCCCATTAAGAAAAATCCATGATCGTTTTGCCATACGTTGGAAATGACTTGAAAGCTCACAGTGACAATAATCAACAATCCAGGGTGCTAAACATATCTTGGGGAGAGGTCTTACCACCTCAGATACTGCCTTTAAAAGTGAGATTTAAACCCTGTGTGGATTCACATCCCCACTGACATTAGTTGATTGATTTCAGTTGTTCTATATCTGTAGTTATTGTTGCATTTTACTGATCTTAGCAAGGGGGGGGGGGTTATGATGTTTATGTTGGTTGTTATTGCTTTTGTGTTACTGTCATTGAACTTTTGTATTTTGTGTGTTTGCACCTTTGAGTGCTTTGGGAGCCTCCCGAGTCCTTCCGGGAGATGGTGGCAGGGTATAAAAAAAGATTATTATTATTATTATTATTAGTCCTGGTGCACAACAGGCACATAATAGTTTGCTGTTCTTCAAATGGTTTCCATTTTATAGCAACACTAAGGTGGATCAATCACAATGTTTTCTTGGTGATAATTGTTCAGCAGTGGCTAGCCTTTGTATTACTTTGAGGTTGAGAGAGTGTGACTTGCCCAAGGTTACTAATTGGGTTTCCATTCCTGAGAGGGATTCAGAGTGTGTTCTTTTGAATCATAGTCCAATGTTCAAACCACTACACTATAGTGCTGTGCTTCCATTTTAACAGCCATGGCTACATCCTACAGAACCATGGGTGTTGTAATTTGGAGGACATTATAGAGTTCTCTGGATGAAAATTCTAAACATCCCTCCCTAAACTGCAAATCCCAAGACACTGACATAGCAGTTGTAGCCCTATAATGGATCATGGAAACCACTATCCAACTCTAGGCCAAGGGGGAGTTCCTCACAATTGATCCAACTATATAGGCTGTGAGTTCCTGGAAAACAAAGATGGCAAGTAGCCAAGGAGAGGCAGCAGTAGGCCAACCTCTACTTGATTAGTTTACGTAGCCTTGTTCTTGAAGTGACGTCTTCCAGATATTGTCCCTAGATTTCCTCACTATTGGCAATACTTCCTTAGACTCATAGTAGTTGTCAACAGGCAACATCCAGTGGGCCAAAACATGGTTACTTTGCCATCCAGAACAAGAAAAGACAAGTGAATGGCATGAGTACCACTTCAAAAATTTCTGCTTTTTGAGCCACTACTTTTCTATAAACAGTGGACATGCTGGCAGGGGGAACGAAGGAGTTGGACTGCTTGTGGGCATTGCAGTCCAAAGTAGTGAACTTGTTTAGACTCTGGAGAGCTGGCTAGACTGCTGCTTCTCTACCTGCAGCTTCTTTATCCGAGCAGGAGGAAAAAATTGAGATACTACTGTCACATGTGGCAAAATCACATGTGGTGATATCCGTATGTTATGTGTGCTTGCCATGCAGGAAGAGGCCCATATTTTCCAAATCTTTATCATCTGGCATAAATGCTGTACGGTGTCTAAAATGAAGAACAACTGTTGGACAGGATTTGCCTGACATTTGAAAAAATCACTCGGAAACAGTGTTTAGAAATAGTACACATTTCCAAATTAAACAGTGATAGCGGGATAATTCCAGATTAACTGCCATGGTTCCATGTTGTGGAATAATAGAAATTGTAGTTTAGGGACAAATACAGTATTTAACATTCTTAACCAGGTGCCAAAATACCAACCCTTAAGAGGCTGCCTTGGCACATGAAGTGGAGTCATAGTGCTGTCATCATGTTGTGTGAAAAACTTTGAGGACTAGCTTCACATTACATAATTATGGCACTTTCGATACCACTAATTACTATGGTTGCATCCTCCAGAAATTTGGATTTGGTAGGTTTTTTTGAGGCTCTAGGGCTCTCTGGTAGAGAAACGGAAATACATCATGAAATTAAGAATCTCTATCCCTTACAATGGAGTCATAACAATTGAAGTCATCCAAC